AAAAAAGACCTCCAAATAACTCAAACTGTAATATCCAATTTAAACCGTCTTGGCGAAAACCGCCATTCTACATTAAAGACACACTTTGGAAAACTAGTATCTTAGGTTTTAAAATTTCCCCGACTCAAAGAACCTAGGTAAAGACATGAAAAATTAGAGAAAGCGTTCAAGAGCAAATTCAAAAATAAAGTACAAGACTCTTCTGATCCCTTGTGCAGTTTTATATATTTTGAGTTTGAAAGTTTGTTAATTATAAATAAAGCTAAGAAACCCCAGATCCCCATGAAAGCCCGCTTTTCGTAAAATAAATTTGTACAATTAGTATCATTTTGGCTGATATTAATTCATGCCCCAGAATTTTGCACTGTAGGTTTTTTTTCTTACCGTATAAAGTTTATTTTTTATAAAAATGACCCAAAGATAACTGCTACTTCTTATCAAATTTTCACTACACACAATATCAAAAATTCGTCAAGACATAATTTTAATATTCCTCCAAAAAATGAGGAGAGCCTTTGCCTAAACTACCATTCTTTCATCAACTACTAGCAAACCAATTACTTTACCGCTCAGATAATTACCTCAACTATGAACTTACTAATAAAACTGCTTTGCTTGCGAGAAAATCCTAGATTGCTTCAGAACACCAAGCACTCTAATGCTTAACACCAGATCGTCTAAGAGATTAAAAATGTCCGCAATACACGAAATGCTGTTCCTTGCGTTGTCAGTGAAAGAGGCTTATTATTTTAAGACATGTATCTAAAAATGCTTCAGCCCTCAAGTAAAGTAGTTTAAGGCATTACAATGACATTATGAAGAAATAATTAGGGAAGTATTATTCACTCAAACCTGTATGTATGAATCTCCAGAAAGCGCCCTCGCTACGCTATTGTTTTGCGGTTCGGTGTAAACTTTCCCTGTACCAGGAACCTCTTCATCGGCTAAAATAATCAAAAAGAGATTTTCCTGCGGAAAGTGGAATACATCACAAAGGGAAAAATCTCAAGATAACCAAAAAAAAATTTGAGAATTAAGATAAATAATACACAAAAATGTAAAACCTTACACTGTGTTTCTTTTGGTGTAGCAGGCTTTGAACTTTCAGGAGCAACAACACCAGCAGCAATCAGTCCTAAGAGCAAAGAAGCACTGATAAAAACCAGTGACTTCAGTGGCCCACAAAAGCTCGACAGCCAACAAAGAGCAAATATCCTAAATCTAGATTTTTAATATAACTCACAAAGTGCCCAATATTCTCAACTTATAAAAACAAAAGTTATAAACTAAGCAGAAAAATGTTGTAAAGCAGAACCTACCAAACCGGAACAGAAAACAATCTGGCTAATTTTTTGTTTATCGTCTTCTTGTCCTGAACATAAATCCATCCGATAAAGCTGGCGAAATAGACCACAGTAAACGCCAATACCTATAAGAGATATTTCTGAAAACAAGTCATATAATCGCTTTCTGATATAAGCTCGGATGCAGAATAGAAATTCTCGACATTATTTCACTTTTACTAGCATAATAACCGGCTCACGATAAGGATACAAGATAACATACAAGCAAAAACAAGCTGTACTATTCAAAAGTTTTTAATTACATTACCCATTTTTGCGTGTAAAAGAGAATAAAAGAATCGATATGATTGTAAAGACTAGCAAAGAATCCGATAACCCAAACAAAGTTCCCACCATCAAGAATTTTCAGGACCAAATAAATAGCAAATACTACAGCGCCTTCTAGCCTGCAAGTATCTTTTACGTAAGGCAGTTTCCTGGTTTACTGCATCAACCTTATCGCTACAACCACTTTAAAAGTAATGTCATTTATCTGAAAATCTAAATTAATATTTAACACCTAAAATATTAAAGTTCTAAATTACTTGAATGCGTGAGAAATCATCAAGTCTGAAAGTTTCACCAAACATTGATACGGTAGAAGAAGAAGCCCAACTAAGAAAGGAGTATCATTTTTGTCTAGCTCAGAGAACCAGCCTGAAATAAGAAGTTCAAGATGAATTCTCTGAGCATTAGCAGGCGTGATACAAACAATTTTGTACCTTCCAGCCACACATTGCAGCGCCTTTTAGCTGGGAACAGTATGGTTCCAACAAGTGTTGCCCATAAGAGTGGGGTTAAAAACATATACATTATTTTGTAAATGGCATATAAACCAGCGATACATATTCCGGTCTGAAATAATATTCTTTAATTTTGAAAAAGTTTGGTTACAGCTAATCAAACTATTACGAACAATCTGTAATTTATTCATCATCTTTCACAACAAAATCAAGAAAAAAAAAAACCTCTTAAGCTCCGATAACTCATGAAGTACTTGTCACAAATTCTAGTAGCTTACCAGAACGAACAAAAGCGCATTATAAAAAGCAAAATGTAAAGCAGAGTCTTGTCCTTGCATTGAAGTCAGCCGGTTTAGCAGCTGACTGTTTTCCATCTTTGGATCTGAAAAAAATAAGTTTATATAATTGGGTTCAAAAGTGATAATGTGACCGAACTGGAGATGACCAAATTGCTTAGCTCTGAAAAAATTAACTTTTCAGTCGTAACTATGAGAACTTTATGCTCTTTTGCAACGTGCAGACAAATAAAAGAAACAATAGAGTTTGACATCCTATATTACAGTTCGACTACAAATCCACATGAGATAACGAAATGCCAAACTGTTAAC